CTATTTACCAAAACTACCCTTGGCTCTTCTTTTCTAAGAACTTGTGGTTGATTCCTAGGAGGTTCGACCCTAGGTCGTTCGACCATTCCCTGGTTGTTTTGATTTTCCTGGGTCAGATGTTGTGGAATTTGGTTAATGGCGTTGTCTTCATTGAAGACTACCCCTTGATTTTCTATCAGATATTCCCTTGGTGGTTGTCGAGGGGAATTTGGTACACCCAAGAATTCTACAAGGCGCGTCATTTGGGCAACCAATTGTTGATTGGTTTGTGTAGTATTCTGAATAAGAGGCTGAAAGATTTCCCCCATGGTTTGAGACATCATTTAAACCATTTGGTGGTTACTTTCGTCCATCTGTTGTCTCAAATAAGATGCAGAATTGATCGTCAAACCTGGCATCTAGGCTGAATATCCTATACCTAAATTTTGACTATTTTGACCCACATTTACCCCTGAGCCAGATCCCTGTAATGGCGAAGTCATTACGGGTTATGTATATAACGGAGGGGCATTTTGTAAGTTTGCCATCAACGAAGTTGGCATTCCATATAAGGGGTCTCGGCGCAAAGGCATTGAAAACCTAGAGGGAGAGATGCCTCTAAATGTCGAAGTCCCTATCGGTGGTGGGGTCTGTGGAGGACTCCTTGGCCCAATGTAAGTCCGAATAAGCTGCGTATAGGAAATCGAATGTGCGGGCATCGAACTTCCCATAGACGGTATTGCTTCAGAGACAGATGCTGAGACCGTTGGTCCTCTTGTTGAAACCCATATGGGTTGTTCTATATTGTTATTCGGGGCATCCTGAGGATCATTTGGCTGGTTTAAATTCGTCGTCATTATCCTCTTATACCTTGTTTTTGTTCTATCTTCGTTAACGGTGGCTATCTTACCACTTCTCAATAACATGCAACGAAGTTTTTTTCAAGAAAAAAAAAATTTACCACAGAACTAATAAAATTTTTCCCAAAGAGAAATTTCGAAAGATTTTTTTTATCACTTAAGCGTCAAAATTAGAAGTCAACAACATGTAAGATACACTTATTGATAACTTTGCCAATGCATAGTCTATCAAGAGTCACAAGTATGAGACTATCTTGTATGAAAAAATGTCATTTTCTACTTTGTAATAGCGTCTGTTAAATACAGTCTTGTCTTATCCCATATTTAGGGCTTACAAATACCATTTATCCCATATTTAGAGCTTATAAAGACCATTTAATAGTCATTATAGTCACTACTCCTTATTTGCTCTTACTCATTATTATCATTAATCTACTTTGAATATGTTTTTTAATTATAGTCACTACTCCTTATTTGCTCTTACTCGTTATTATCATTAATCTACTTTGAATATGTTGTTTAATGCATGTTGATTCTACTTTGGATACGATGTTTAATGTATGTTAATTCAGTCTGTTTATTGCCTTAACTCGGTCTTGTCCTTGTGGATAGAACGTGAATAAAAACATTCTCCAAAAACTTTGGATCAGAACCCGACTCAATTGTTTTAGATGGGAGATTGTAATGTAATACAATACTAATATTTGTATTGATTTAGATTTGAGTTATATATTTTTTAAGGAGAGAAAATACATTTATATTTGTTTAGTGTGTATGTCTGTCCGCTTTTTCAATACACTTACACATAAAAATATATATGATTTTTTTTTAATTTTGATTTTAATTAAAATTATGAGTATTTGAATTTGTGATATATATATTTATATATAGTTTTTATTGAGAAGTTAAAGTCAATTTTCTTTTTAAATATCTAATTAATTTCACTTGTGTATAATATTTAAATATAAAATGGGGAGAGTAGTTAGCTTTTTATTTGTGTAACTTCTACAACTTCTAAATAATTTTGAAGGACAAAACAGAAAAGAAAATAGTTTACACCAACAAAATGTTTTGCCTTTATATATTTTTATAGATATACTTACACATAAAATTATATATAATAATTTTTTTAAATTATGCTTTTAATTAAAATTATGAGTATTTGAATTTGTGATGTGTATTTATATATAGTTTTTAGTGAGAAGTTAAAGTCAATTTTCTTTTCAAATAACTAATTACTTTCACTTGTGTACAATATTCAAATATAAAATAGAGATAGTGATTAATTTTTATTTGTATAATTTCTACAACTTCTAAATAGTTTTAAAAAACAAAATCGAAAGAAAAAAAAATAAACTACACCAAAATTTTTTTTTACCTTTATATATTGTTATAAATTATAGTTATATGGATATTGTTATAAATTATATTTATATGACTAGTGCGATACGAAAAATTGTTGACCGTAGACTTCCTGACTCTTTATTTCCCCTAAAGTTTACTTTTTCGAAAGAGAAAAAAGAGCACTTAATTTGGTTGTGAATTTCATAATCAAGTAATTATAACATGCTGACTTTAACTACCTAACTGTGTATTTCCCCTAAAATTTGCTTTTTCGAAAGAGGAAAAAACATTTAATTTGCTCGTGAATTTCATAATCAAATAATTAGTTTTTTGCCTTTTGAAAATTCAATAACCATATATCTAATGATACGTGACTTAAAAATGACCACGTTAATACGTTATTTTATATAATAACAAAATTTTCAACATCTTGTATTAAAAACATTTTCTACTACTCTCAGTTTAAAAGTGTAATATTAAATGCATTTTTGTCAAAATTAATCCTAAATAATTATTACAGAAAAATAGAAAAAATAAAATTAATATAATAAATTATTAGGAGTATTATAAATATAAAAAAATTATTGTATAAAAAGTATTAATATTGATTAGATTTCTTGATATGTATAAAATATTAAAAAGTAACACTTAAAAAAAAACTGGCTGAAGGAGTAGTACTCGGATGTTATTCAATTATTTGAGGTATTTTTGTAAATTATTAATAATATCAGATTGAATCAATTGACTGAACCAAGATTGATCTTATGATAGGTCTATTAGATTGAGTCAATTAAAACTTGCCTTGATAAAAATAAGAAAAGAGATAAGGATTTACTTTTGATTATACGAAAATAAAAACAATAAGTAAATGGAACTGATCTCAAACGGCTAATAATTTTGAATTAAATACAAATCATATGAGATAATTCAAGATTGAATTTTGAGTGAAACGACATTTGATCAGACTTTTTTTGTATATCTCACTTCAAGATTGAAGCAAGTGAAGTATCATAAATAGGGATTGTTGAGGGAGAATATTCCAAAGTTCAATCTAGATATGTAAATAAAGTCTAACCAAAATATTTTCTTAGCCAATATTCAAAGTCAGATTTTCTCAAACAGTTTATGGTCAACTGAAAATAATTAACCACTTGAACACAATGAGTAGGGTGTATAAACTGGAGCAAAATAGTTTAATCCAGAGATGTGGCGTTTAACTTGTTTTCCAAAAAATGAAAAATGTTAAGGATTTTGACCAAAGCTTGGAGAGAGAATCAAATATAATCTGAAACTGACTTTATCCTCAACCTTATAATCAACACGACAGAGTGTATTCAAGCTTGCACCCCAAGTATAGACTCATAACTAATAGGATTACATTGAAGAAATCTTACAATCACAAATTTGAAACTAACTCTCAATGATCTTTACAATATCATGACTCTTAATATATTTTACAGTATCCAATTTAATTTCAAATGAAATGGAAGAACCAGTAACCATATCAGTGAGAAGATCGGATGAGAAAGAGGAACCACGGGCATAGTTTGTTTGAATTATCGAAGGTTAAGCACATGACTTTACACTTTCCCCGATGGTACACACAAAACATTAAGATTACAATAAGGCATTCGGCCAGGCTAGTCACTCGATTAGTTATAACCCGGTGATCTACCTCCCTAGGACCTAAAGTTCAACCCTCGTGCAACAAGTAAAGACAATACACTAAATCAACTCAGACCTGTGACACTATCACAAGACTCCAACATTAACTACAGAAAATCAAACAATGACTGAAGATAATGAGAACCATTACAAATAACTAAATCAAGGTACATGTAGGTATGTATGTTTTGGCAAACACCAAAATGGAAAAGATATTGACTTTTCATTTAGCTCTCAGCCTATGTTCCATTGCTTATATACTTAAAATGCACTAAGCATTGAACAAAATACATGTTATGTTTCCACCCTACACTAGGGTTCCTATCCAAAGTGCATTTTATTCTTAAGCACCACACAAGGAGCATATTGTGTGTGTTTTGTTCTGCAACACATTGGCATCCTACCAAACCCCCGTCAGAAGTTACGTATCCTATCCAAATACAAAGCCCTCTACGATAAACTATCAGAAGTTACGCAATCTTCCAAACATGCAAAGACCCAATTTTAACGATACAATCGTCTCATGGGCAGCCTTAACGATACAATCGTCTCATAGGCAAAAGCTAAGCTGCTCACCAACCCTCACCATTTCCCCGTCTCATAGGCAAAAGCTAAGCAGCCCACCAACCCTCACCATTTCCCCGTCTCATAGGCAAAAGCTAAGCAGCCCACCAACCCTCACCATTTCCCCGTGAACTATGAAGCCGACACGACATGTCCACACCGGTAACAATTTGAAAATAATCACAATAATAGTATCGTTACCGACACAAAACTTTTCTTACAGAGCTTCTGAATGCCAAAAATCATAATCAAATGGATGTTATGATCATTTGATAACACCTAAATGACCTTCCCGGCAATCATTCTATCACCAAAACTACAATTTCATCTAATAAAAAACTATAAATATAAAACTCTAGTCACAATCACAAAACCAAATATCCTATCTCAACAGAAGAAAAAAAAAACTGAAAATCATAGAAACAGAATCACATTCCACAATCTCAACAAAGCTTAAACACGAGATACACGAAACCAAATCAATTCAAAAACATTCAAACATTGTAATTATTCTACTACGATGCCTCAAACACTTATCCAAAATCAAACAAACTACATATAATCCCTTCCAATTCCATTTCAGAGCGATTAAACAGGGCTGAGAAGCTGAGAAATCTGAGGTTTGGGATCAGTATTCATACCAACAATGATAATAAACGGAATGAAACCGTAATGAGCGATAACCTTGGTTTTCTTCAATCCCCAAGTTGTCCATTCCTTCGCGGAATCAAGCAGCGATCGATCTTCCGATCCTTTCGATCCCTTTGAGCTCTTGCCTTTCGCCTTCAGAGAAACCCTTGACGCCATTCTTGATTCCTATCTCTCTCGCTTGTGCAAAATTGGTTTGATCAAAATGGGAATAGCATAAACCCTAATATAGCGGCGACGTGGCTCGATTAGGTTCTTGGCGTTTTTAACCTTTTGCTTTCGTTTGCTGCATACGACAGCTGATTTTCTGTCGTTTCATCCTAGTAAAAAAGTGACTCTTTTTATCTAATCGTAGAAATTATCATATAATTTGTTAATAAAAAAGAAATTATTAAAAATAAAAATAAAAAATATAATTAAAATAAAAAGAGATTACACCAAATCCAAACTTTCTCTTTATATATGTCGTAGATATAAATATTTCAACAAACAATATATCTAACATTTAATTTTATCATATTTACTAAAAAAAATATTAATTAATTAATTAAATTTACAACAAACTAAATGTAACATTTTAGTTTTTTTTACTTAAACACAAATATTTCAACAAAATATATATATTTCTATAAGATTAAAGAGATTAATCACTATGTACCGTGTGAAAAGTTTTACACCATCAATTCATCATCATCCATTTGTATTATTGGATAGGTGATTAAAATAAAAGTCAAACTGAATCCAACATCCAAAGTCTATGATTAATTGACTCTGTAAATTATTTTTAAATTGTTAATGTGTTTCAATTAAATTATAATGGTGCCTCAATTTTACCTAACTCACAAAATTAATTACCTTATTTTAAATTCAAATAGTTTTAATCATTTTTCATTTTTAATAGAAAATGGATGAAATATTTATTTTAACTTATATTTTTTATCTATAAAGTTTTACAATATATTTATATACAATGATTTTTCATATTTCATAAAAAAATTGTTGTATAAAAAATGAAAATATCGTTAATTTTAAAGGTAAACGTATGAAAGAATAACCAAAACGATTTAAATTTAAAATATCATTCATATCATCTATACATCATACAATTTCATTAACATTGGTTCCCAAGCATTGTGATTCATAAGTTTGAGAATGAGGAATAAGGATTAGGTTTCCTCCTTAATTGCTTTCCAAGTTCTCACAAAATTCTTCCATGGCATGTCTTATCTTCTATCTTTGTACCTTTCTTTTTATGTTTGTTACATTTGTAATTAGGGTTTTTTCATCATTGTTGCATCATTGGTCATCAATAATGTCCTCTAACCATTGCGCATCAAAGTACAAAAGTATGGTGCAATTGCATCTCTTTTTTGTGCTTAATCATGTAGGTTGGCAAGAGTGGATCAAAATGCTCATAGGTTCAAATCAAGGTCAATTGGAATCCAAGTATTATGGTACTTAAATGGGAGCTCATGATCATAACATGTTCACTATGACATGAAGGGTTCACTTTGGTCAAAGAAAAAGTCAAAAGGTTAATTATGGTTTGTCATTCCTTAATTGACAAGGAACTAGCTAGCAAGACATCCACCCATGGTAAAAAGGCTTTACTTTCAAGATGGATTTAAGCATGATTAACACGGAATCAAGCTAGTGACCAAACTTCATCCATTTTTAACTTGGATTGGATGAAAGTTCAAGCTTATGCAAAAAGGGTTCAAATGTGTTCAGTGATAATTTTTGAGAAAATCCAGGCCTAAAGTGTCACTTTTGCCAAAATAACTTCTACTCATGTGCAAGTTTATACATTTGGATATTAAGGGAACAAGTGTGCATCATGGTGATTGATTCACCTTAATCAAGTGGCATTCAAAGTAAGCAATGATCACCCAAGTTTCAAATGAGTTTAGGTATGGTTGTGTTTCATCACCAAGCAAGCTTTATTCAAACATGAGCCAAGAAACCATAAGCAAGACATGGTAAAGCCAGTTTGGGTTCAAGAATTTCCCTAACATCAAACATCAATGCAAGTTGAAATTATGACTTAACATGAATAAGGTGCAGCAATAACAATAATCCATAAGTTGATGCAAAAATTGTGAGCTGCCAATAAGTTTTGGCAAGCCACTTGCCAACATGAAGCATGAAAAACAAGCAAGGCAAAGCATCATCAAATGAACATACAAAGATGAAAAGCATGTGTATAAAGCAACATGATGTTAACCATTGACCAGACCCAATTAGAGATCAAGCACGCGTGCAATACAAGTCCCAAAGTATGTATAAGGGTGTGTATCAGTTGAAGCAATATGGTACAAAAATACAAATACAATGCCAAATACACATGTGCAGCAAATACAAAGAAAATTCAAAATTCAGAGAGTTTCTAAAAGGGAAAGGACCATCAATCATTGCCAAATCATTACCCATAATTTTTGGAGTGGATTATGCACAAAAAGTTAGTTTTCTAGCTCAGCAAGCATCTTCGAAATGAGTCATGTTTTCCAAATTTATTCACACGAATTCCACCTCAATTGACACATACCAACTCACTATCAACTTTCCTATAAATAAAGCATCACTCCACACTTGAAATCAAGCTCTCAGCCATTGAAGTTCTGTAGATATCACACCTCACATTTCCTTCAAAACAAAGCATACAAGTAGCTTTGTACAAGCACTTTCAGACTACTTGTGCATGCAAACACCATTAATACACTTCCCTAAAGCTTAGAGGATCAAGAGAGAGGACTGAAACAAGATCACCTGAGCTTTGAACACTCATCAGAATCTGCATTTGATCACTTTTCTGACGAGGTAGAAACCTTGATCCATTTGCATCAAACTTGTTACCAGTCTGCTCGTCTTGATGTACTGAGTGCTTCCCTCGTACTTTGATCCCATATTGTTGCACTATTGGAGTTTAATTTTACTCTTAGGGTTTTATATTCAACTGATTTTGGCTTTAATTCCCCATACTCATAACCAATCAATGGCTCTTGAGTATGGAGTTTTCAACGATGATCAAAGGCGAAGTGAAATCCATGGTTGTTTTCACCTGACTTTATGAGTTGTGTGGTTTGAAATTTCACATGGCTGGAGGTTGAAGATGATCGTGTGGACGTCTTCTTCCATTTTTTGTTTTTAAATGTAATATCCACATGGCGTGTTTTAGCTGGCTAGTTATGATAAGGTGGCTAACTATGCAACATGTGGCCTAGTTGACTCAAGGGTGTGTGTTCTCCATGCATCTCAGTCATTCATAATGTATACATTTTTTGGTAATTAGATCTGATGGCTCTGGATAGTCTTTTGGCAACGCGTTTTAGATCATTTGATCAGATCCAATGGACCTGATCATCTAAGGTTTTTGGTTTTGGTTTTTCTTCCATTCAAACATTGCCCATGGGCCTCAGCGCCATTGGGCCTTGGTTTTTACTTGTTGGACATCCTAAGTCCATTTGCACCCCTCCTTATTTTTTATTTTCATTTGTTTTTATTTTCTTATTTTCTTATTTTATTTTCTTATTTCATATTTATTTCTTTTCCATAATTTGAACTTTTGATTGTCACTTTTATATTTTAACTCGATTATTATTTTTTGGACTTTTATTATTATTAATAATAATATTTGATTCTAATTCGTTTTCTTCATCTTATTTTTCTTTATTTTCTTTTTTGCGCTACGTATTTTAGGAGATTAATCCTTATTAATTCTCTAATATGTTGGATGCATAAATTTCATTGACCGACCTCCCATAGTATGATCTTCGTATAGATTATGCTACGATTGCTTAACATATCGCTACATTGTCCCAATTCGATCGCTTGATCATTAACCCTAATTATTGACTATTGATCTAACTCCTAACTTTACTTTCTTGCACTTTATTTTCTTGCAATTTACCTTATTACAATTTATTTTCCTTGCTCATTATCATACATTTATTTCATGCACTTTATCTTCGTGTCATTTTATTTTCTTTGATCTTTATTTCTTTATCTTATTATCTAATAAAAAAGAATAAAAACATGATAAAATGGAAAAGACCAAAAAGATTTAATCTTTCTCCTTGGACTAAAATAATGAGACATAAAGGACTTGTATGGACCTTGCGTATGACCTTAGCTTGACATGGAGCATTTGTATGGACTTAGGACCTTAATTGCAAGAGGTTTATTCATGACACTGCCCTAAGGCAAAAGGGCACACGTAACTTTAATTTCTATATTCCATTGCTTAGCTTAGGACACTTTGCACACACATGGCTTTCTCTAGGGCTACCTTATAACGAGACCTTTTATTTCTCACATCTATATCCCTTGTAATTTTGCATGTAAACCCCCCCCCCCCCCCCTCGTTGGTTGTACTTTTCTTTCTTACTTTCTTTTGGTTTGGTGTTGCTTGTTAGTTAACCCCTAATGACAATGATCAACCTCACTTTCCTTTAAACAACAATAAAAAACCTTTGATTCAACGTCAAGTGGTATTTTTTATATAAACTCAAAAACACTTTAAAATATGATCAGAATTGTGCGTCACGAGCCTTAAGTAGTGGAAAAGGAGTGGGAGTGGAGCATTTCTACCCTCATTTTGAATATTTTGAACACGAGACGCTTGACATGATTGTTTGAAGTATTTGTCTCCACTCATAGACTTTATTGCAATTAAAGTCAAAAACATCCTTTTCAACCCTTAAAATCAACATCAACTCATCAAACTCTTTTTCTTAAGGCATCATTCCAAAAACCCCTTTTTCAAGGTATAAAAACAACCAACACACAATAATTTTCTACCAAACTACGGAGCTCTGATTTCCTTATTGCACTATTAGGATACGTAGGCACGAGATTGCGAGATCTTGGCGAGCTCGCTAATTTAAAAACCTTTTCCCCAATAAAAAGTGACCTTTAGATAGTAACACTCATTCGCGCATAGAAACAACTAATATGGTTCCCGTTGAGTACAACGGATGTGATGGTGCTAATACTTTCCCCTTTTATAACCAACTTTCGAACTTAAATTTGATTGTGAGACCATATTCTTCAACTTTTAGGGGTTTTATGATATTTTAACTTTTCTCTAGAATAATAAAGTTCGGTGCCGACTCTGTATTTTTCACGTAGCGATAGCTGGAGACTCCACTAAGAATTAACTT